ATTGTAAAATACGTAAAAGGAGATATTTATAAAAGCCTTGAAAAAGACATATGTCCATAAAAAGTTATATTTCCATAATAAAATTATTCTTTCAAAAATATTAGAATTGTACAAAAAATTATGAAAAAATGTATAAATTATTTTATACATTTTTGTATAAAATATGTTATAATACAACATATTTTGTATTATAACATATGTTAAAGATAATATGTTATAAAATATTGTAAATAAACAATTGTATTTATAAATAAATGGATATTTTGCAAAGCAGTCTGCACAGTAAAATGTACCTAAATAAAACAAATTTTCAGACACGCTTTTCTGTGTCGTAAAATGTTTTTCCAATACCGAGAAAAATACGTTTTCATCTCCTAAATGTGTTTCCACAAAAACGAAAATGTCAATTTTTTTTTTAAAACCGTACTGTATACGTTTAGTCGTTAGCAATTAAAATTATTAAATTAGTTAATTGTTATTTCACACTATTAATTAACACTATATTGAAATAGTTAGCACTATCAATTAACAAAATACTAAAGTTAGTTAACACAATATTAACCCTTAACGGTGACACTCGAGTATGAAACAACCCCAATAAATTTAGCTTTAATTTCAGCCATTGAAAATCTGAAAAAACCTATTCTGAAACACCAGCATTTTTACTATTATCTCAAGAACGTTCATCAATTAACAAAATTCTAAAATTGGTTAACACTATTAGTTAACACAATATTAACCCTTAACGGTGACACTCGAGTATGAAACAATCTCAACAAATTTAGCTTTAATTTCAGCCATTAAAAGTCTGAAAAACCCCTGTTCTGAAACACCAGTATTTTTACTATTATCTCAACAACGTTCATCTAAAATTTTAGCTCTTTATATTAACACCGAAAACAGTTTCGAATTTTTCTATGGCAACCGTCATTTTTTCAATTTTTTTTCACACTCAACTAAAAACAGTTGAAAATGTCAGTCGAAAACTGAAGTGAGTTGTGAAATATTTTGAAATAACTGTTAAAGATTATTTATGATTTTTTTCAAGTAAAAATAATGAATGGCTTCTTCGTATTTTTAGTGACTTGGGTCTTGAACGTCACAGTGTGCCAGATGTATTCTTTTAATAAAGTGTAACCGTTAAGGGTTGAATTAGCTAACTATCAGTTAACACACTATTAAAATTAACCCTCTCAAGTAATACGATATTAAAATTACCGCAATATTAAAATTAGTCAACAGTGGTTACAGGCCCATTTAGAGCCCATTAAAACTTTGGTTAAAAGTGATTACGGGCCCATTTCCAATAAAACCTAAGTTGCAACCCAATAAAAATCGCACGAGGGCAAACCGTTAAGGGTTGAATTAACTATCAGTTAACACGCTATTAAAATTAACCCTCTCAGGTAACACGATATTACAATTACCACAATATTAAAATTAATTAACAGTGGTTACAGGCCCATTTGAAGCCCAATAAAACTTTGGTTAATAGTGGTTACAGGCCCAATAAAACCTAAGTTGCAAGCCCCAATAAAAATCGCACGAGGGCAAACATGTAACGAAACAAACTCGTCCAGCGTCGCATTAATTACTATAATTAATCGCGCGACCTTTCGCGTTTCATATATATTTACGTTCTCGTTAGGCGTGTTAATTAGCCCAGAACGAAAAATACGTTGAGAATAAAAGAGAGTGGGGAGCTCGCAGGTGATCATTTAATCACCTCATTTGTCGTACGGTTGGTCAAGTGGCAACTAAAACGGAACTCGATCGAAACGAACCCTCTTAAAGGTCACACCACGAGGAAATTAATCTCGTAACCCGTTGTGAGCGTTTATCATTTCCTGATTGTTTTTCGTGGAAAAAGTATTGCAAGCTTACAATGCTCGCAGGGCAGGATCAGAGTTGTTACTTCTTCGTAATCCGTCCCGGTGATCAACGGGGCGTGCCATGGTGATCAGCGGGCATGATAAAAGTCATTAAACAGCGAGCTACCCTGTGCCTCAGTTTTAAGAATCGATACACATTAATGAGCAAAAAATTTTCACGGTAATTACGCGACACGGCTGTTAATTAACGTTAATGAAGAACAACTGTCACACACTGGGAACACGATTTTCGGGAGAACAAGCGGATCGTCCCACACTAATCGGGATATCTGTTATCGATAATCCGGTTAACAGTTTTTGATTAAGGTCTTTGAACAATTTCAAATTATTGCGGTATTGTAGTATAGTTGTGATTAAAATTTTGATGTTAGTGGTGAAATTATTGAGTGAGGGAAAATTATTTGGTATTGTTCTAATACGTATTTTGATGTTTATGTAGTGTGGAAGTGGAACATGTTAGATTTTTATGTTCCTAAACTTTTAGAGAAGTGTATTTCTGGGTTTACAGTCTTCTGGATTACTGGATCCCTGTATTTTCAAATTCCTAGATTATTAAATTTCTGGATCTTTAGGTGTTTAAATTCAAAAATTTTGGGATTTCTAGAATTCTGTATTCCTAGACTTTTTTTACATTTCTAAATTTCTAGATTTCTAAATTCTTAAATTCCTAGGCCCCTAGATTCCTAAATTCCTAGATTCAAAGATTCCTAGATTCCTGGATTTCTAGATTCCTAGATTCCTAAATTCTTAGATTCGTAAATTTCTAGGTGCCTAAGTCCAGAAATTTTTAGATTTCTAGAATTCTGTGTTCCTAGATTTCTTTTCACATTTATAGATTTCTAGATTTCTAAATTCTTAAATTCCTAAGTTACTAGATTCCTAAATTTTTAAATCCCTAAATCCAAAAAATGTTATATTTCTAGAATTCTGTAATCCTAGATTTCTTTTTACATTTCCAGATTTCTAGATTTCTAGATTTCTAAATACTAGATTCCTATATTACTAAATTCCTGAGAGTTTCTAAATTGCTAAATCCCGAAATTCCTAAACCATATATTACTAGATTCATATTCTCAAAGATTTCTAGATTTCTAAATTCCTATATTCCTGAATTTCTAGAACTTCACATTCCTATAATCCTAGTTTCGTAAATCCCTAGATATCCAAATTCCTAGACCCCTAAATTAGGTAGGTCCTAGATTCCTAAATTCATAGATTAGAAAATTCCTAAATGTCCAAATATCTAAATTAGAGAATTCCTAGATTTAAAAATTTTTAAATACTCAGATTTTTACATTCCTATATTTCCAAATTCCTAAATACCAAAATTCCTAGATTTTTAAATTTTCATATTTCTATATTGCTAGATTCTCAAATTTCTAGAGTCATTTTTAGACTTAAAAATTCTTACATTAGTAGGTTCCTAAGTTTCTAAATTTTTTGATTTTTAGATTCTTAAATTTCTAGATTTTTAAGTGTAGGTTCTTTGATTTTCGCATTTCTACTCATACAAAATCCCTAGAATGTCTCCACTATGTCTTCACATTTCTATATCCCAAAATCCCTATATCAAACTTCACACTAATCATACCAATATTAAATATAATAAGTAATAAAAATTACATGTTTGTCCCCAAATCTAGAAACATGTTTTTACCACAAGAAAGACTATGATTTTAATAATTAATAAATGCTGTAAATCAATAAATTTGTACTGCTAAAATGTATTATTAATCACTAAGCTAATTATTTAGATAATAATTTACAATATTAAATATTTATTTTTTTAATAAAAATTATAAATATTTAGTACTATACATGGCTGATATATTGGCAGTCAGAGTAATGTAAATCTTATAGGTTCATCTGGCCTTTTGGCCGATACGCATCCGACAAATTTACGTACACAGGAACATTGCAAATATTAACTGATAATAATTAATTACAAATCATCGATAATAATTAATAGTTACTAACTAGTACAAACATAAATTCATAACATTCTCATTTATAGAATTACTCATTTATAGTACGAACAATTGCATTTATAGTTAATTAAATAATTAATCAGTGAGAAAATCTAACTGATTCTTTTCTCAGTGAGAAAATAATCAAAATCATCTTTGACAAAATTTTGAACATTTTTATAAATCAATTTTCTCGAAAACAAGTTTGAAAACAAAAATGTCATTTCATGTTCCCAACTTATTTTTCAGTAAATCATACTCCACTGTTCCCATACCAAAACACCCCAAATAAAATCAATTCACGTATTTTTAACAAACAGTTGCACAATATTGCGATCAACGTTTTCCAATTTAAAAAATTGTAGTGAATGCCAAACATTGCAACAGATAATTTAATTCACTAAATCATCCATTTGATTGAATAAACGTTCACGTCAGTTGCATAAAGTTCAGAGGGTAAAAATTCTGCAAGTATTCGATTCGGGGTCAGCGAATGATTGAGAACACTCTATATCGCAATTCAAAAGCATTCGCAGAGTTTCGGCAATGATAAGGTACATCGGAAAATTGCATTGTAGGGGACGACATCTAAAGGACACTCGTGGGCACCATGACAAGAAATTGCCCTCCATTTTTCCCCGAGCATCCTCTCTTTTTCAACCCCTCGATTTTTCACGCCGATGAAAAATTGCTCGTTTTAGGTTCAAGGCGAGATGTCCATTCAATTAGTTGCCCCTATCGAATTCGAGAGTTCGTCAAACATAACAGCATCTATCGACCCCCCAAAGTATACCTATCGATTGACTCTCTTCAATTTCAAATCAAATTTCCACCCCGTTCAAATTAATATTCAAAATGGAACTTCAGGACACAAAACTCAGAAGAAACTTTGCATTCCCACATTTTTTTTTGTGCTCGCATCAAAATGATCAAGACATTTTTATCGAAACGTAACTTTCATAGAGTTTGAAAACTTAATTCTCATGTAATATTCTGTAAATGAATCAATATAACAATCCTATTTATACCTAACTTTTGATTCGTACATGAACCTATGTCTCTATGTCCCTCAGGAAAGTCTTCGTGTGGAATTTGATAAAAAAGATTCACAAGATCGAAGCTTAAAAATTGATCCACTTACCAATCTGCGGCACGTCGTACTGTATGCTACCCCTGGTTGATCTGAGCATAAGTTGAGAAGCAACGCTGACGCTGTTCCCAGGGGATGACGGAGGTTGAGCTTGATGCTGGGCAGCTTCACCGGGTAGGTCGATGGAGCGTCGTCCGACAGGCATTTGGCTTCTCTTTCCAGGAAGCTTGGCAGCATCCAACGGGAACGGTGGCCTGGCTACGAAACCGGGTCCCTGATAATCCCTGGACTTGTCAGCCCTCGCTATCGGATCAGTCTTCAGGTTCGCAGCAGCGTTGAATTTCTTCTGCTCGAATAGATCGTCGTAGTTGGATTGTCTGGTTTCCGGGAGCGTTTTACGGCCGGCCTCGTCGTCGCACACCCTGATAGGTAGGCTAACGGTGTTCCTGGAGTGTTTGCAGTCTATCCGCAGCTTCTTCATACGTTGCTGGCCTATATGACCGTTCGGTTGATCCTCCACAGGGTGCAGGAACTGTTCTCCGGGTTGGGTGGCGGTGTTCATGTACTCCGAGTAGAGTACGTTCAGCATCGCCGGCGAGAGGGCGAAGAACACCGTCTGCAGCTCCCTGGGCTCCCTGATCATGTCGTCGATCAATATGCCGGCCGGAGTCCACGAAGAGATCCGCGGCTCGTCGTTCAACAGCAACCAGTTGGACAAGTCGTCCCGGTGAGACGCCTCGGGAGGATATATCCTGAAGTGCAACAGGTTATTGCCAACCGAGGAGCCGAGCTCGCTCTTCTTTCTGATGCCGCCGTGCCGGTAGTCCTGTTCCTGCTGTGCGCCCTGCATGATGATCACCGGCCGATTGCCCACGGCCAGATCTAGCCCTTGTCCCACGTACGTGAGAAGCCAGAACATGCACACCGCCATCATATATGTGTCCTTTTGACGCGTCGTCCTGTTAGACGACGACTGACGAGGCCTGCTCAGTGTCACTCGGCTACGTTCGCGGATCTGCGCTCGCCTCGCTGCCCGATCGAAAGGCACAACACTTGTTTAGGGGGTTTAGGCCGACTTTTTGTTCGTTTAGAGGCTGGACGGGGATAGGGGAAGTCCGCGGGGGAAGAAAACGCGGATGAGCGATGACCGGCGATCAATCGATAACCGTGTCGGCTACCACCGTCACATGGGAGATGACGTTTCTTAAAACGCGCTCGAACCACTACTGATCATTCTTGTCGGTTCCTTTCCCGCGTGTCAAGCTTCGTATCCCGTTAACGACGCGTTCCTCGTCCTGAAATCAGGTCGTTAGGTAAAGAACAAGGCTCCCTCCGATTCGGGATCAAATGCAGTGCCGTGATCAGAGGTGCTGGTGCTGATGCTTTTCAGGGTGCTCGACAGTACATGGGCAACAATGAAACCCGATCGATCGGCCACAGTTACGTACTCATAATCGAACTATCTTTCTCCTGGGTCTCCCGTTCGATCGCTTACCGCTGCTTCCTTCTATCCAGCTCGCTCCCATAACCATAGCTTCCGGCGGGATTCAACGATCCGGCCCAGCTCTCCGTGTAAGCCTTCTCGCGGACAGCCGCGTTCGGTCCCTACGGATCGTACGCCCTCGGAGGGACCCGCCGGTGGGTCCGTTGCCCCGGCGATCGACTTCCGGTGCACGGGAGCTGGTGCAGTACCGGCAAGACGTTCTACGTGCGGTGACACGGCGTGCAGCGACCACATCGAACTCACCGAACGACTTTAGAGTGCGGTAAAAGTGGCTATGTAGGACGAGTGAGAGATCAACAGGTGCCCGAAAAATGTGCAAAACTGTGCTCCCGATATAACGAGAGGGCCGGGGAGGGGGAGGGGTGTATGCGGGGTGGGTGCGAACGAGCTCGCTCTTCTTTCTGATGCCGCCGTGCCGGTAGTCCTGTTCCTGCTGTGCGCCCTGCATGATGATCACCGGCCGATTGCCCACGGCCAGATCTAGCCCTTGTCCCACGTACGTGAGAAGCCAGAACATGCACACCGCCATCATATATGTGTCCTTTTGACGCGTCGTCCTGTTAGACGACGACTGACGAGGCCTGCTCAGTGTCACTCGGCTACGTTCGCGGATCTGCGCTCGCCTCGCTGCCCGATCGAAAGGCACAACACTTGTTTAGGGGGTTTAGGCCGACTTTTTGTTCGTTTAGAGGCTGGACGGGGATAGGGGAAGTCCGCGGGGGAAGAAAACGCGGATGAGCGATGACCGGCGATCAATCGATAACCGTGTCGGCTACCACCGTCACATGGGAGATGACGTTTCTTAAAACGCGCTCGAACCACTACTGATCATTCTTGTCGGTTCCTTTCCCGCGTGTCAAGCTTCGTATCCCGTTAACGACGCGTTCCTCGTCCTGAAATCAGGTCGTTAGGTAAAGAACAAGGCTCCCTCCGATTCGGGATCAAATGCAGTGCCGTGATCAGAGGTGCTGGTGCTGATGCTTTTCAGGGTGCTCGACAGTACATGGGCAACAATGAAACCCGATCGATCGGCCACAGTTACGTACTCATAATCGAACTATCTTTCTCCTGGGTCTCCCGTTCGATCGCTTACCGCTGCTTCCTTCTATCCAGCTCGCTCCCATAACCATAGCTTCCGGCGGGATTCAACGATCCGGCCCAGCTCTCCGTGTAAGCCTTCTCGCGGACAGCCGCGTTCGGTCCCTACGGATCGTACGCCCTCGGAGGGACCCGCCGGTGGGTCCGTTGCCCCGGCGATCGACTTCCGGTGCACGGGAGCTGGTGCAGTACCGGCAAGACGTTCTACGTGCGGTGACACGGCGTGCAGCGACCACATCGAACTCACCGAACGACTTTAGAGTGCGGTAAAAGTGGCTATGTAGGACGAGTGAGAGATCAACAGGTGCCCGAAAAATGTGCAAAACTGTGCTCCCGATATAACGAGAGGGCCGGGGAGGGGGAGGGGTGTATGCGGGGTGGGTGCGAAAGGAATTAATTAGACACCGGACGGGCGAGTGCGTGTCGAAAGGTCGCAAGGCGGTGAACAAGTAAAGTGATACACAGCGGTACACATCGAATCATAACAGAGAGAAGAAGAAGAGTGTATGAGACACAACACAGGCGACGCGTGAACAGAGAGATAAATTAGTCGGGCAAGAAAGGGTGCAGTTTGCGATTACGGATACACTTGCGTGTTGTTTCGTGCGGAATACTTGCTTCTGTGACTGGGGTGCTGCGAAACCTTCGCGAGTTCTCCTCCTTTATATCCAAACCGGGCTCTTTCTCATGCGTTACGATCAACGAGAGGGTTAACCTTCCCTGTCTGTTCAGATCAATCGTATCCAGTCGCACATGCTAAATTGCTCCTCGCCCAAGGGCAGACCTCGACGGCCGCGAGCGTTCGGTAATCGTCTCCTCGTGTCCGCTCGGTTCCGACCGGAAGCTTGTGTCCCGCTCGATCACGCGAACACAAAATGGTGCGAACAGTCGGCTAGCATGTTGCTGCTGGTCTGCGAGTGTGCGGCTGCGACGACGGTCGGGCGAAAACAACGCCAACGGTTGGGTCGATCGACGTCGTCCACCAGGCTCGTTCTCCTCGAGTGTCCGAGCGTGTGTGCTTGCTTACGTAGACGGCCAGCCACTTACGTCGTGCTCCGTGTTGCTCTCGCGTGCTTCTCGCCAGCGAGTACGGGCGCGTTGTTGTCCCCGAGGACGAAAACTGACAGTACACGAGTCGGCTGCCGGGTCTCGTACGTTGCCTCTGGGCGGGCCGGCTGCCTGGCCGGGAAGTCGCGGTTTTAGTAAAGAAAAGGTTTCGACAACAGGCTAACGCGGAGTCGGTTAAAGGAGGTTGCGGCCGTGGATGTTGCTTTGCTGGCCGAAGGTCGAGGGATGGAGGATCGAAGGGTTGGGACGGGTTAGTTTAGCGAGTGAGCTGGCTGGCGCCCTCACCAGAACTAACTCCCACGCTGCGCGGCAATAGTCACCGGGTTTAATACAACGCGCATCGTCTCCCACCAGAACCGAC